TAGACTTAATTGACAGATTCAGTAGAGTAGCTGGATACAGGGTCAACACTCAAAAAACAATAGCCTTCTTGTACACAAATAACAGACTCACTGAGAGAGAAATTAGAGAAATAATCCCTTTCACATTAGCACCCCAAAATACCAAACACCTAGGAATCAGTCTAACGAAGGAAGCAAAAGACCTCTACACTGAAAACTACAGCACTATGAAAAAAGGGATTGAAGAGGATATAAGAAAATGGAAAGACATCCCTTGCTCCTGGGTAGGAAGAACCAATATAGTGAAAATGGCCATATTTTCAAAACTGCTATATGGATTTAATGCAAGGTCAATTGAAATTCCAACAATATACTTCACAGAACTAGAGAAAACAATCCAAAAATTCATTTGGAATCAGAAGAGACCTAGAATAGCAAAAGCTATTCTAGGTAACAGAGACATGGCAGAGGGTATCACAGTTCCCAATGTAAAACTATACTACAAAGCTACTATGATAAAAACAGCATGATACTGGCAAAGAAACAGACCCAAGGATCAGAAGAATAGATTAGAAGATGCAGAAACAATTCCAGGCATGCTCAGCCAACTCATCTTTGACGAAGAAGCCAATCACCCTCATTGGAGGAAAGATAGCCTATTTAATAAATGGTGTTGGAAAAACTGGATTTCAACTTGCCCAAGATTAAAACTAGACTCACCATGCACTAAACTAAGGTCGAAGTGGATTAAAAATCTAAATATTAAAAGAGCAACATTAAACCTGCTGGAAGATAAGTTAGGTAGAACTCTTGAAGACATTGGCATAGGAAAAGACTTTATGAACAAATCCTCAGGAGCACGGAAACTAGCACAAAGAATCAACAACTGGGATCTCATCTTATTAAAAAGGTTCTGCAATGCAAGAGAAACCACCAACAGAGCTAAGAGACAACCTACAATGTGGGAAAAATTTTTTAGCAACTGTACCTTAGACAAAAGACTACTATGTAGAATATATAAAGAACTGAAAAAAATCAGGCCCCCCCAAATTCAAAGACCCAATTCTAAAATGGGCATCTGAACTGAAGAGACATTTCTCAGGCAAAGAAGTAAAAGCAGCAAATAAACATATGAAAAAATGTTCAATATCACTGGTTATGAAAGAGAGGCAGATGAAAACAACACTGAGATTCCACCTCACCCCAGGAAGAATGGCTGCTATCAAGTAATCAACCAATAACAAATGTTGGCGGGGTTGGGGGAAGAAAGGAACTCTTCTCTATTGGTGGGGATGCAGACTGGTGCAACCACTGTGAAAATCAGTATGGAGATACCTCAAACAACTAGGACTAAAGGTCCCATTTGACCCAGTATCCCTCTGCTGGGCATCTTCCCAAAAGAATTAAAAGAATAATACCACAGCAATATATATGCTGTATATATAGCACCCATGTTTATAGTGGCACAGCTTGTAATAGTGAAAGCTTGGAAACAGACCAAGTGCCTATCAACTGGAATCTGGATAAAGAAGATGCATGTTTTTTTTTTTTGTTTTTTTTTTAATAAAATGGAGTACTACTCAGCCATAAAGAATGAGAAACTAGAGACATTTATAGTTAAATGGATGCATATTGAGGCCATACTCTT